CTTAAATATCACAAAATGCATTCGAATGTACATAGGCTGTAATTTAACTTTTCTTTAATTTTTGTAGTGAAAATATCAATAGTTATTTTGTATTATTTATAAATACATCTATCATCATCATTACAGCCCTTCACAAGTACACTGCTAAACACAGGCCTTCCCCAAGGAATACGACCAAGTGCGGTTTTGAGCCACCTTCATTCATGGATTTCCTGCATATCTTACCAGGTCCTCACCTCATCTAGTGGGGGGACGCCCTATACTTAGTCTACCTACTCGAGAACCTTTTTTACCCATCTGTTGTTGGTTTTTCGAGCTATATGTCCGGTCAATTGCCTTTTCAGTTAACAAATCCGTTGGGCTACGTCCGTTACTCTGGTTCTACTGCGAATGTCCTCATTTTTAACTCTCTCTGGTTGTACAATCTTGTTTTGTGGTTCTAAGGTATGCCTAATGAGAAGATCGTAATCTCCCGAATATGTGGGAGCCTGTAATGATGATGATAATGATGACATATAATATTAACATACTACAAGCCGCCGAAAAAGATTAGTCAGTTCTTACCATCTGTTAAGTGCCCCTCTACAAGATGCAGGCGTGTGCAAGCTTGATGTGAATGTGGCCTCACTTACATATGGAATGAACAACAAAAAACATATGATATCGTTGATATGAAGCATCGACGCTCCGGGAAGTCTGCAGTATAACAACATATTCAGGATCATGCCAACCTTTATTATATCACATTTGATAGAGCAAAAATCCTCGCAAAAGAACAGCGATTTCTACCAAGGATTATTTGAGAAGCTACTGAAATTAAAAAATATCCTAATTGCAATTGGAGATACCTAGGTGCAATTCTGCTTGGGATCCCATAATTACTAAAATTAAATCCAAACTCAAGCATAATACTGCAACATTTGAAAGTACTTTAAGCTTATTCTGCGTAGATCGGATTAAAAATTAATAATTAAAAGTTGACGGTAGCCTTCGTTAACTATGACATCAGGACGTTAAACATCTCAGCACCCAATACATCGGGAATTAAAAAAAATAAAATTAAACGCGATAAAATCCGTAAAATTAGTTTTATTCCATGTGTAGTATTCGCGAAAATATAAGAAACATTACATAATATCACATTCATTCTGTGTACTGTTAGACTACTTGAAATTTTTTGGTTCCTATGCATTTATTCAAAGTATAATAACAGTATTTTTGTAAAATGTTTGCGGCAGTCACTGACTTGTCATCATGTTACGTCATTATAAGAAAACACTATTTCATATAGCGTAAATGAATATTATCTTTCTTTATTAAACAGGCTTTTATCCTACAAGATTATTTCAGCTTTATCATACCTTTTTCACTTGTAATGATGGATGAAATGGTATTATATACAAAAATAAATAAAAAAATCAATATTGCATGAGTGTTACCGAGTTAATTTATTTTGTATAAAAGTCTAAACGCTATATTATATAATAAATTAATAATTCAAATTTCAAGAAACAGTAGAAATCTTAAAATTCGAAGTGGATACTATTTAAAATAAAATTTTCAAGTTTTTATGTATTCATAAAAACACAAGACGAGTGGTGAACCTATTTAAATGGCTTTTTGAATATTTATAACGTGAGCGGTACGTAATTTTATTTCTCGTTATCTCGGAGGCTTTATCTGCGTCTTGTTTTTTGAAATCGTTATTATAAACGTGAATTCCAGCATCATCTGTTGAACAGAAAAAAGATACAAGGAAAATCAAACTACCTACTTTTTTGTTAGAACTTTTAATAGACTAGATTTCATTGGTGGTGTTTTAACAATGCTTTTTACTAAAATAATAGTAATTAGTACGATATTTTAGTGAAAAGCATTGTTATATCCTTATATCATCATCTTCATCATCATCATCAACATCAGTCGTAAAAATCCATTGCTAAACATGGCCCTCAGCCGACAGGCCCACAGCCCGAGCCGATAAGTATTTACCATAAACGCTTGCCATCGCAGAATCAAATGTCTTAAACTTTGTCGCTGCTCAATTTCGACTATCTGGTTATTTTAACTCTGTTGTAACTGTTACCGTTACAGCCTATTAAAGTCCATTACGGAACATAGGCCTCCCCCATTAATTTCCTCATAGGGGGGATATTTGCCATATTTGCCAAACTTGGCAAGCGCAATTTATTATTTTTAGTCATTATTAGGATGACGCTGCTGCCCATCTCCTGGTTTGTATCCCTCTGACACCTCTTACGAGACTCACGCAATGATATGGGATAGTTTATAGGATATATACCGAAACTACACGGTTGTCTAAAGATATTCCACGGGACTACAAACACTTACGCCTGTCACCCAGAGGGGTAGGCAGAGACTACGGACTTCCATTTGGAGCGATCCTGACACACCTCTCTCGCCTCCTTTACATCCATATATTTATGCATACACGCTCGTCGGTTATGAGTACTCCTAATCTGGCCCATTTTCAATGTATCGCCGATTTGGTCGATAAATCTTCGTCTAGGGCGTCCCTTCCCGACTTTACCGTCCATGGGACTATACGGGTGATTATAATAATTATACTATAATATTATATATTGTTGGGAATGAGGGTAAAAAAAATAAATGTAAATACGAACAAATGAAGGTAGAATGGTAATCTCCCACTTGTTTTAGCAGTATAAAGTATCGCACAGGCGACTAAGAGGCATCAGTCTGTAATTCTACGAGTCTTATTGTCCTTACTCCTTACTATGCCCGTTGGGGTATTCTACTAGTGTAGACAAGGAAGATTGTGTTGCTGATAGGATGCCCTGTGTTACATTGAGATGGGTAGTGATGATAGTAAGCAGGGTTTGTTACCGAGTAGTGTCCCTTTATTTAAATAATTTTGAGAATAATTTTTAACATCAGAAGTGGCATAGTTTCTAAAATATATATTATAATAATTTTTTACGTGGTAGATCCAAGCAGCAGCTATATTTATAGTATAGTTGTAGCACGAATTTGTCGGCTCGACCGGGGAAGGACCACGCTCTCACAGAATACCAGCGTAAAATAGCAGCTTCATGCTGCTGTGTTTCGTATGGTGAGTGTAGAGAACCGGAGACCCTTTTTACTGGGAAAGAGGCATTCCATCTTATTCCTCAAGGATGACAATGCATCTGCATTTTGATTCGCAAACGAGGATAGATGTAGAGGATAGATGTAGAGGATAGATGTATATGGGCCTCAGCAACCACTTACCATCGGGTGGACTGTGTGCTCGTTTGTCACCCTATCTCAATAAAAAAGAAAAAAAAAGAAAATTAAAGTAAATTAAAATGATGTATAGCGGGCACGATCATGTTCACTGGATCAAACGTCAAGTCTACTGCAAATTGGACAGTAAACTTGAACGTGAATCGTAGGCATAACACACAATATACATAAAACACAATTATGTTATTTTTATCCACCATGTTAATCACTATGTTATTATTCCGCTTATTTCATTTAATTAATTTTCACATCCATACAAATAATAAGTAAAGAGAAGGTACTCTGAAAGTTTCTTAATCAAACTGCTAATCTGACTCTAAAAGTTTACGAGTGATATTATCACTGTTGACCAGCTGTGTTTAATTGTAATAAATATATGTAATGGCTGTGTTTAATAAATAAAAATAAACGTTAACTTGGAGAGGTCACGTATAATGAAGTCACCGCTCCGTCCCCCTTGTTCTCTAATCCAAAGTCCCGAAACCTTTCAGCTCGAGCTACAAAACCGTTTTCAGTTCCTAGAAGATTGCAATTCAGTGGACAATATGAATGACACGCTCGTGGAAACTGTCCATGCAGTCGGAGCTAAGTTTTGCAAGACCCGCCGCAGAAGAACACAAAAACTCTCCGATCACACTCTTAATCTCATGGCTGTTAGACGGGATATGAAGCTGCAGTCTTCAGTAGATTTGACAGCATACAGGCAACTGAACAGACAGATCTCCAAATGCATGCGGTGGGACTTACGCAACTTTATATTGGACTGGGCATACCTACAGAACTGGCGTGATACCTAAACAAATCTGGCGCATAAAATGGCCGCCTTTTATAGGGTTGTAACTCAGCAATATGGGCAGCTCATATCGATATTTTTACTAATATGATTGATTTCATATAATTATAGAAATTAAATCCATAGCCTAATTGCGTAACACACCTAAAATGACAAACCATACCAATTTGACGGTTTAACAACATCCATTGCGTGGTTTTTGTTGTCGAGCAAACGAATTTTTCAATCACATGAAGCAATGGATATTGTTGGGATGTTAAATTAGTTTTGGATTGATATCCCTTGAATTTCGCTGGAGCTGCTTCACGAGGCTTCACCGCATCTCACTCTGCTAGAGATTTTTTGTGTTAGGTACACAGTCAAACAATGATTTAAGTATGCAGACAGCTAACTTGCAACTTGTTTTAAGCAATGTTCTGAGTGTACTAAGTGCTTACTCAACTTTTGAAGTTATACTTCTTTTGGCACGTTTAAGAAAAATGATGAGAGTGAATTTTTTACAAATTCAATTGGTAATTGTCTGTCAATTGTTAAGTTTTCGTGAGAGCTGATAACTATATTCGAGGTAGTTATTATAATATATATGAATGTATAAAACATGTTTTAGTTTTAGTTATTTTTGTTTTGTTACGCTAAAGAAGTATAACTTCTTAAGTGCGTACATAAGTACACACACACACGTTTTGTTTTATATCAATGTGAACAAAGTTAAAAAGTTATAACGCACACAATAAAAATGAATATTGACAGAGTAGTGGGAAGATAAATATTTTTGCTTGTATACCAAATACATTTGTTTAGTGTACAATAATATTGTACAGTAAACAAATGTATGCAGATGAGATGTAGATCCTTCATTCCATATTGTAATCCCATATTATAGTATTTTTAATATAAAATAATAATGATTACTTGAGTAAAAATAAAATAAACTGCTTTTAAAATCAATACTTATTTATTGTTTATTGGTATATAAGAACGTTCTGCACATAATTGATCACAAGTGGTAAGTTATATAAGCATGTTCGGTCCTGCCAGATATCACATCAAATTTTTTATTCAGATTTTAAATTAAAAATATTATTATTTTCGCAGGTACATTAATTTTGTTCGTTTAAAATTCGAAAATCTGACATGATCATGTAACGGTGGATGAAATATGATATCCAGGATTTATAAACTATTATTATTATTATATATTCATTTCTGAACAAAATTAATTTATTAAAATAATTTCTATCGACACCATAAATAAGAGTGTACGACACTATTTCGCTGTTTTTTGACAGTTTGACAGCAGAATCTACCTCATAACTTGGCGCTTAACATGGCGGCGCAGTCACGCATGGATGAGCTAATGAGATTTTGAGTGAGATTGAGAGGTTCTATGGGCAGCTGTACACAACATCGTTCGAGCCACACGCAAGTGTGAGTAACGATTCAAGAGCGAGTCTTATCCGACATTTTTCCGATGATATACCGGACGTCAGTCTGAGCGAAATTAGAATGACTCTTCAGCACCTTAAAAACGGCAAGGCCCCAGGTGAGGATGGAATTACAGCGGAGCTTCTGAAAGCGGATGAAAACCGGTATTTGAAGTGTGGAGAAGAAGTGCGGTGGTCTTGTTCTTCAAGAAAGGCGGCAACGCCCTCATCAAGAACTACAGACCGATTTCCCTTCTGAGCCGCGTCTACGTGCTGTTTTCGAGAGTCATACGAATGGACTCGCGCGCACACTTGACGACTTCCAGCCTCCCGTACAAGCCGGTTTCCGAAAAGGCTTTAGCACCATAGACCACATACATACCCTTCAGCAAATTGTACAGAAGTCCGAGGAGTACAATTTGCCACTATGTCTGGCGTATGTGGACTATGAGAAAGCCTTTGATTCCGTCGAAATTTGGGCGGTGCTGCAGTCCTTTCAGCGGTACCAAGTTGACTGCCGGTATATCGAAGTTTTGAAGTGCTTGTACAATAGGGCTACGATAGCTATCTGAGTACAGAACCAGAGTACGAAACCTATCCAATTGCAGAGAGGTGTAAGACAAGGTGACGTTATATCCCCGAAACTCTTCACCGCTGCATTGGAAGACGTTTTCAAGCTTCTGGACTAGAAAGGATACGGTATCAACATCAATGGCGAGTACATCACTCACCTTCGATTTGCCGATGATATATATTTTGTTTTGCTCAATGACCTCAATAGTGTTTCCCAAAGGATAGGTCTTAAGATGAACATGGACAAAACAAAGACCATGTTTAATGTCCATATCACACCTATGCCGGTAGTTGTTGGGAGCACTAAGCCCGAAGTTGTTGACAAGTATGTTTTCCTGGGACAAATAGTCCGACTAGGTAAGTCCAACTTCGACCGAGAGGTCAATCGACGGATTCAACACGGTTGGGCAGCGTTCGGGAAATTACGGCAAATCTTCTCGTCAGGTATACCTCAAAACTTGAAAATGAGACTGTACAACCAGTGCGTGTTGCCAGTGATGACATATGGAACTGAGACGTGGTCCTTCACTGCTGGCCGGAAGAGGAAGCTTAAGGTCGCTCAGCGAGCTATGGAGAGAACTATGCTCGGAGTTTCTCTGCGTGATAAACTTAGAAATGAGGATATCCGCAGTAGAACCAGAGTGACCGACATAGCCCAACGGATTATTAAGCTGAAGTGGCAACGGGCCGGCCATATTGCTCGAAGAACCGACAACCGATGGGGAAAAAAGTTTCTTGAGTGGCAGCCTTGTACCGGCAGGCGAAGTGTAGGGCGTCCCCTCACTAGATGGAGTGACGACCTGGTAAGATATGCAAGAGGTCGATGGATGCAGGTGGCTCAGGACCGTGCTTTGTGGCATTCCTTGGGGGGAGGGGGGCTAAATTCAGCAGTGGACTTGTGAAGGGCTGTAATGATGATGAAATTGTAATTGGAATGAGTGATGAATTAAATCAGTACCTATATTTATTTGTAAAAATTAGCACCGTACAAACACACATCGCACAATACAACATTTATCCTAATTCAGTCTCTCTGTCGTCTCTTATGATATGCATGGGATGATATGGAAGAATAGATATTCTTCTACAAATATTTCACAATATTTATTATTTCAAAAGCATAATAAAGGTTTGCGCGTTTACCGCTAAAAAGAACCCCTTTGTCGTATCTCGTCAGTTTCAAGGCGTAGTATCGGAATCTTCGGTGTCGACAAATCCAGTGATGTGCAGTTTCGTGGTCACTTGGAAGAGAAGGCCAAATTGTTCTCTAAAAAGCTTGGCGTGCTCAGCAGAGCGGGACAGTATTTCATACCGGCACACCGCTTGCAACTTTGCAGTTCCCATTTCTGGGCAGGGGCTCCCCAGTGCCAGCTCCTTCCACTTGACCGCATCCATCGCAGAGCAGCTCGAATCATCGACGACCGAGTTCTTTCTTATCGGCTGGACTCGCTGGCACTGCGAAGAGATGTTGAATTTACCACGGGGAGTGTTCTGTGGATTTTTTTCGGACTAATTTCAGCCGCTCAATTTAACCATCACACATCGCGACAAAACTTGTGATACCATCCTGGTATATTACCATCTGGATGATTGGCGGTCCACCACTGTGCAATTCGGTAGAAGATTTCTTCCTCGCACTATTTCCTTATGGAATGGACAACCACCAGAGATTTTTCCGGACCGATACGACTTCAAGAAAAGAGCCTTTTTTTAAAAGGCTGGTAACGCATCTGCAATTTTCCTGATGTCGCAGTTGTTTATGGGCGGCGGTAGTCACTTACCATCAGGTGAGCCGCATGCTCGTTTGCCCCTCTGCTACAAAAAAAATCATTAAATCTGAAATATGCCTAATAGTCTAAACATACACGATAAAACTCGATTTATTAGCGCTTCGAAAGCTTAACATAAAAACTATTAAATCGTAAATTATTTTTTCTAAAACGGACCTATTGCATGCAATGCATCTCAATACAGGTAAAGACTTTTTATACGCACGGATCACTTTGTCATTTGTAATAATGCTTCCCATTATAAGTCCTCACAAAGATGTGGAGTTAAAATTTAGACGTCAATCAGTCTTACTACGATGTAGCTTTGTTCGATTTTCATGGCTTTTGTTCCCTGCGCGTCTGCGACATTTTTTTATAGCCGTGCTGACTTCACTATTTCATAAAATGTATTCTGTATTGTATTATTAATGATCCGAAAAATTATTGCTACTCTTTTCTAAAAGTGTTCAGTATTTTAGTTAACAAGCTAATATTTCTAAATTTTTAGATTTATATGAGCCTGCAAAAACAGCAATGATTCATTAAAGTAGCGTCAACATTAACATTTTCTAATGTTCTAATGTTAATTTGATTTTTTTATAAAATTGGCTTGACAAAATAATTAATAGTCCACCTGATATTAAGTGGCTACAATTGCCCAAGAACACTTGCAATCAACTTCAAATAAAGAAGGATACAGAGGGCTAGTCTGCAGTTACCTTTGAAAACTAAGATGGGATACTCACGCTTCATTGCGGTTACATTCTGCAGGTTGCCGCCGTGTATGGCACTAAAGGTCGGCGGGTTGGAATGGGATATGGTCTAAATCGATGATCAACACATATTCAACTGTTCCACATTGTGTGTGCTTCATACCGGACTTGCGACTTAGCACAGTGCTCAGTACGAAAGTAGGCCTGACTAAATCCTTCCAAATGTGCCGGGAATGTGTGCTCCGGAGTTGGCACCAGTTCTTACATGTCTTTTTCGGTAGTATTACTCTTCAGGAGTTGTCCCTAAGTCATTGAAGACAGCACCCGATCCCTAAAAATGTAACTGCTATAATCCATCCAACTACTGGCCTATTGCCATCACCTATACTTGTTCTCTAAAATAATGGAATCGAGTATTAACCGCCAGCTCATACGATACCGTCCAGTACGGTTTCCGTCGGGGTCGTTCAGCTGGTGATCTTTTTGTTTATCTAATACATCGATGGGCGCAGGCAGTCGAGTCCAAGTGGGAGGTCTTGGCGGTTAGTCTGGACATAGCGAAGACCAGGCTGGTGCAACTTCCATAGTAAAAATTATATGTACTACAGGGGTCAAATTTTAATGACGGTTACTCTTCTTTCTGCTTTTCGTGATATGTCTATTAACGACATTGTCAAATGAAATAGGTTCAAATGTCAAATCAAACAATTATATTTGTATATATTTTATTAATTAAGATTGCTTTTAATTTTGCTATAGGAGCCGTTGTTCATTTACAGAATTGTTAAGAAATTAAATATGCATTATAAAACTTTCCAATTAAATGGTGCATGAAGCAGAAAAAATGATAACAAGAAAAGGCTATTTGTAGCAATATTTCCCTTAGATGATGAAAGGTATGTGGTGATTTCAACTTTAATAGTAATATGATATTCAACGCGAGTATATTTTTGGACTAGCCATCTATGTAGGACATGTTTTTATAGTGTACGATTGTGTGCACAAATACAAACACACTATTTCCTAAATCTGATAGTTCGATGGTTTGGCAATCCGAAACGAACTATACTTAGAAACTACAAGTCAATTCTGACTGCTAACATTCTATTTGTTCAATAATAATGTGATTTTATTTATATTATTTTTTCAGATGTAAGCAATGGGTGAAATAGCTGGCACATGCACCAATTGAAAAGATTCACATGTTAAGACATATTTGTGACAAACATTGCATATGAACTCAACTAAAACGAACTGTTATTTCTTCAGTGGACTTACTTTAAACTTCCACAATTTATGTGTATGTTAATTAGGTTTCATTTATGTGTAGTAAAAGATAATATCCCTCTAAAGTCACATTTTGGCAAGAATTAGATTATATAACTAAATCATTATTTTATTCATCAATAAACTAATATAATAAATAATTAATCCATAGCGATATATGTGATATATGTGCTTAATATAATGAACACTTATTTTAAAAGCGACAATTAGTAAACGATCTCTGCGATTAGTATGTACATAGGTGCCTCTGTGAAGAAGCCTAGCGATTTGTACATAGTATTTGTTAAACATAAAAGCAATTTAATCCAATCAGTATTAAAAACCCAATATTTTTAACCTTAAAAAAACTAACGTTGAAAACAAGCATCCAGACGCAGACTATTTATTTTACAGCATAGCAACAATTGTTCAGTGCGGGAAGGAAGCCTCGGTCCTGTAATGCCGCAGTCAAACGCTTAGCCACTGCGCTACGGAGTCGTCATTTATTTTTTACTTAATTAATTACTAGTATAAAAGTGCGTTTTTTATTTTATATTTTCTTTATACATACTTTTGTACCTAATTGTAGAGATATAAATACAAATTGCTGTGTGTAAAATATATTAATTTCTTATCCTCATCGGCATTTTTACTCAATCCACACGTTAAAACTTTTATTTCTCATAAATAATTCAGTATAGAGATCTAACTTTTCTTATGTAAAAATATCGATAAACAATATATCGATAAAGGTTATATCGATAAAATTATTCGAGGATAGCCATTTACAGCACTATTGTAATTCGTCAATGTTGTCAGCACTGTTTCTCAAAACTAAATGTCATATCTTGATGTTGGTAGAGTAACTTGGCGTAATTTCATGCAATTATTTTTACCATGGAAGTCCCGCCTCTTAAACGTAGTGATTATATTCTCTTTGGCGAAGACCTTCGGTTGGAAGCTTCCCTCTTATGGCCTTTCCGAAATATTCAAATGAGGTTTAGTTCCGCGATCACCTAAAAAGGAAGGCCAAATTGACCTGTAAAAAGCTTGGCGTGTTTCTCGCTCTACTGAGCAGGACAGTATTTCTAACTGTGGTACATCGCTTGCAATCTTACAAGGCGCAAGTTCGGCCTCACATGGATTTTTGTTCATCTCATCTCTGGGCCGGGGTACGCCAGTGTCAGCTCCTTTTACTTGACCATATCCAGTGCAGAGTGGTTCGAATCGTCGAGGACAGGGTTCTTTCTGATCGGTTTGACTCAGTAGTGGTGCTATCATCCCTTTGCATATTCTATCGTATCTACCACGGGGAGTTTAAAAAGGAATTGATCGGACTAATTCCAGCCACTAAGTATCACCATATACCATCCATAGCACCTGGATGATTGGCGGCCCATCACTGTGCGATTTACAAAAGTTTTCTTCCTCATACAAGTGCTTTGTGAAATCGGTTACCACCAGAGATTTTTGTCCGGACGTACCGATATGACTTAGGGACTGCAGAAAGATTCTGAAAGGTCCCCGAAAAGCTGTTAGCTTAGTCTTTTTTTTAAAGTAGGGAGCGCACCTACAATTCCCCCGGTTTGGCGGTGGTAGTCATTTACTATCAGGTGAGCCGCATGCTCTTTAGCCAAAAAAAAAAAAAAAAAAACTTCACAGCCTGTAATTATACTAGCACTCTATTATACCCTTCAGGCCGGAACATAGCTGTGTACCCACTGCTATTTGGCGGCAGAAATAGATAAGGGGGTAATACCTACCCAGACTACAACCTAAACCACTAACCAATTACAGCTTTATTATTTCGTACCATATAAAATGGCTTTCCAAGTTCAACTAAAAGAATTTTATTATTTCAGGATTCCCTGTAATGTAAAAGTAATTACTATGAGATTAAATCGAATGAATGATAAATCTTGGTGTTTATATGGAGGGTAGAGGTAAGGAGGACTATCTGTGTGTATGAAAAAGTGTCCGCCAAAATGCGTTAAATTAGGGTGGCGTTACAATTACACTAAAGAATTACTAAACGTATTTGAAGTTTTAAAGTTCACAAAAATAAAATCACTCTCTACGTTTTCTCACAGCAATTATTTTAAGTTATATTTAAAAAAAATATTTTTGAACTACATGAATAGTTGAAGTTTAACTCAGCACACTTCAATCCATCTACAACTGCTATATTCATGCCATACCCTGTATCTACGCTAGCGCCATTTTAGAAGGTTTTTGAACTGTTATTTACTGCTTACAGCTGGACTATGAGATAGTCTTCCTTGCTTCCTTACCTCTACCCTTTAAAATGACACCAATATCAATAACATCTTATATACTCAATGTACATAAGTATATAATGTTTACCCAATATAAATTTGAATAAATAAGTAAATAAATGAAAAAATAGGTTTTAATAATTTCTAGGCACATCTCAACAAATATTTCGTTTATAAATTGCTATCAACGTGTTAATAGTGAATTATTATTTTATATTTTGCATTCATTTAACACATTTTAAACAACATATAATCAATAAACGATGATCGCGTATAGTGATTAAAATTTAGAGCTAAATTATTATATGTAAACGTTTTGGAATTGTCGTAATGATACATATTTACTAAAGAAAATATCTTCACAATTAGTTTGATGTACAATAACATTAGAAATAACGTATAAAAACAGAAAAGTTACCACATTTTTGATCGAATTTCTCACACGTTAACATTCCACAAACAAACATCGCGAAATTTAATTTTAACTTGTTTTTCCTAAATATTTTGTTACTATTATACAGATAAAATTCACTTTCACAGACGACAAATTTCATATAGCACCATCTATAATTTTTACTGTATTAATAACAACTATTTTTTGCACTGTACGCGTTTAAACCGAAAGATGTCGATTGGTGCCTAGACAGGTGAGGCAATAATGGTTTTTGGGGACTGTAGTCACCGTAGACGGTTGAGTGGTTATGAATATCAAATGACTCCTTTTTTTTAATTATCTTTATTGCACCACAATTAATTTTCGGATTTATTTCGTCAACTTTTCTGTATCATTTAATGCTTTTCATTTCTTTAATTTTAAAGAAAACAATTTAGTTAAAAAGTAAATTTTATAAAATTAGTTGAAAATTGATACATTTCTTAAAATAAAATTGAGGGGAATTTGTGGGGGATCTGTTGAAGTTTTGTCCTTAAATTGGGGAATTTGACAAATTTATGTTGGCAATGCTGCCATATTGCACCAAAAAGTTTGCCGACGACATAAGAATTGAGGCGGCAATCACTATAAAACTTGCAAGTAATTTTTAATAATTTTTACGTACCTCTTTTTAAATTCAAAGTATTGGTCGGATTAAATACGGATAGTCATTAGTCATTTAAAATAAAGTAAAAGTATTATTTCTTACGTTAATTCTGATAGATTAATTAACTGTCGATCATAATTGCAATTGATTTTAAATATTAATTATTCATTTCTATTTTCTTATACAAAATCAAAGATAACGATGAAATAGTGTTTATAATTGTGTAAGTGAGTACTGAGTACCCAATTAGGTACGTATATTAATTTCAATTAATTTTTGTAGTAAAGAACTGCTTGTTGCGTCAGTATAAAATTTATTGTGTAATTGTATTAAAAATGACAACCATAACTTCTAGATTCCATATGAAGACTAGTCGTAGGGATAACTAAACTTATAAATAAAATAAATGTTGGCAATGTCGTAAGGGTTTTACTGTCTGTCGTAGTGCTCAGTGCTTCAAGGATGAATGCCTCGTGCGCATTTGTTTTGTAATTTTAGTTTTTGAGACAGTTCCGTGTTGACTATCACGTGCACGTGAGCGACAGTTCAATCGTTTTCTTTAATACATTCTTGTTGTTACGTTTTGTTTTAATAATGCCTAAAGTGTAGGTGCGTTTATAGTGCTCGTGAATACGGCAACATGTTAATGTGCCTTGGAGAATCTCATATTTACTTAGGATTTAGATCGGTAAGCTGTTTCATACCTATTTTTTTTAAATAACTTAGAACTGAACTCATCTGAATAGGTACATAGCTATACACATCAGAAAATAAAATTACCTACATGATGGATAAAAAAACATGACTTGTTAACATTTTATTTAGGCAATTTTTTTATTAGAGAACCAGGTATTTGGTTTATTTAACCGGTGAATAAAGTGGCTAGGTGGAGACAAGCACAGTGGCAAAATAGTAGATTAAGTAGATAAGTCAGGTATTTAAACAAGTGTTGTAAATTATTAGGTATTGTGGTACCATCGCTAGCTGCGGAATGTGCGAATTCGGCGTCCGGGCGTACATTGACCCCGTCAGCTGATTGTAATTCCACTGCTGGTTTTGTGTTCAAGTATTTTCAAGATTCTTTTATGAAATTATCGTTTCGTTTAGCTGTACTAACATGATGCGGCGTTAACAAAGCCAATAAAATGTTGTGAAAAGATGATTTTTTCCCTCAGGATCGATTTTATTTCTCGCCCATCATCAAAGGTATAGTTAGTACTATCGCCTGTCTTTGTTTTCGGGAGACAACCGGGGGATAAACACGCGGTATAACTAAACTCAAAGTTATTTGTAATTACCTGGTTAAAAATATTTTTTATAGATTCATCTGCAAACATTAGCTATAATGAGCACTTATTTTGAAAGCGACAATTAGTAAACAATCTCTGCGAGTAGTATATACATAGGCACCTCTGTGAAGAACGGTAGCGATTTGTACATACATACATTTTTTTACAGTTAAAAGCAATTGAATCCAATCAATGTTAAAAAACATAATATTTTTACCGTTTATAAAAAAAAAACTAACGTTGAAAACAAGCATCCAGACGCAGACTATTAAATTATTATAGTTTTTTATTTTATATTTTCTTTATACATATTTTGTACCTAATAATTGTAGGATATAATTACAAATTGCTGTGTGTAAAATACATTGATTTCGTATCCTCATCGGCATTTTCATTCATTCAAAGTACTGGCAGACGTATTTTAAATAGCACATCTCAAAACTATTAATTATATAAACTGCACCCATGTAGTTTTGAAATAAAAAAATAGTTATCTTATAACGTGATATTACTTCAAATAATTAGATTGGGAACTTTTTGCAGTATGGCGGGTGGAAGGAAAAGGGGGATCTCCCGCCGGGCAAGGTGTTCTGCTCGGGGAGCGGCCAACGCTCCGATTGGTAGTTCGGAGCTATTCTATATATCCAGCTTTAACTTCGGAACTTTGTTAGTGCTATTTAGGCTTCGGTGTGTTTCGCTTGTGGCGCGACGTCAGCGCCGCCACAGCAGTATAAAATAACTGCACCTTGCTTGAATATAATTGTACCATCGTTGCATAGCTTCGTAATGTTAGCAAGTCCAAAAATTAGAATTAGACGAGGTTTTACAGGGACATGTAGAATCGTTTGCTCATTAAGAATAAACGAAAAAAATAATTATTCGTGTCACCCCTGCAGATTTACGACCCTTCGAAGACGCTTGCTAGAAATTTTATAAAATAGTCATTTTTTAATGGTTTTAAGGCACCAAAGTGAAAATATTCATGCACAGAACGTTTGCGCGTTATTTTCTCGTTCCAGAAGTATAATTACTTTCTCAGAAAAATGCATAATAACTGATTTTCACGATATCATTATTTTTCGCACCCCCAGCCTACGCAAGCATGCGAGTCTGCAATTGCGCGGCGCGCGTCACGCAGCGCACTGTGGCCTGTGGGAAGTATCAAATGTGAAATCAACTTATTGTTTACACTCACAATCCAGGGTTTTCTGTCTCATCAATTTGACAGTTGGATACCAGGCTCACTACACGATTGAGATCTCGTACAATGAAAGCGTAATTAGAAATTCTTAACAACTTATTGCTTCAGAGTGTAGAGCAAAACAATGCAGCTCCAATATCAAATCAGGATCTAAATCATTCTTGTATTTACAGAGGTACCAAGCCACGCAATACAACTTTTATTTATTTTATTTATTATAGAGTCTATTTGGAAAATCATTTAACTAAATATTTGTTCTTTCTGATACAACAAAATTTCATGGTCAAAGATGAAACTGTCCTTCATAATATTCCATACATGGGTGATGAGATCCTTGATCAAGATGGGACCTTTATCGAAAAATTAATAAAAAATTATGATGATAAAGTACATGGGGAGCGTGAGTCAGGATTTATGGATCACTCTATTTTTGTGGATCTTGTAAAGGCGTTAGTTTCCTATGAAAAGGATGACAAAGAAAAAGATACAAATCCTACAAAGAATTTCAAAGAATCAAAAGACGAAGATGAAAAAGAAGATTCTTACAGTACAACTTTTTTATAGTAAATATAACTTTTTTGAAATTTCTTTTAAAATATCTAGTCGACTAGATTTTCATGTTACTTTATGTTTGTAGGCAGTATCTCAAATGTTTCCTAACAAAGGAAAACCAGAAGAATTAAAAGAAAAGTACGTTGAACTGACAGAAAGGTCTGATCTAAATGCTCTACCTCCACAATGTACTCCAAATATCGATGGTGCTACTATAAATAATGCTAATTATAAATTAATAATAAACATTGTTCTATATGATACGTTCTCGTTAAACTTTTTTGATCGCACATATTGATATCAATCTGTACAATATGATCATGGAATAAATTTGTTCTTCTACTCAACATTTCAATTATTATTATTTTATTATAATTTTTTTCAATTAGATCATCTTTATCTAAATTAAAATAAACGTTGGTTTTTATATTATTTTCATTAATTCTCATAAATTAGATAATTAGATATCAATATATTGTATTTGGTATATATTTCCAGACTTTGAATGACAGTTGTCGGAATTTTACCTAGAGTATAATTAAGTATGCTATTCTTCTGCTAATCATTGAAGTTTTTTATTAGCTGTTTTTAATTACATTTAGTTTACATTCGAATTTCTTACATATAAAATTGAGCTTATTTTAATACTTGTCTTTATAGAGCACTTTTCATTTTTTCTCAGACGCTGATCATCTCTATAATCCCATTCACCATTATTTTTCCTACAATACGCAGTGTAATGGCCCAAGCCACCAATTGAAGGTGGAGGAGTGAACCTTATAACTCCACATAAAATAAAATTTATGTCATTAATTACAATATTTTCTGGTATATCTTCTACTTTAGTGAAAACTTCAGATGTGTTTTTGCCAATAGATTTTTTGTTTATTATGGCCCACAGGCCACAGTGCGCTGCGTGACGCGCGCCTCGCAATTGCAGACTCGCATGCTTGCGTAGGCTGGGGGTGCGAAAAATAATGATATCGTGAAAATCAGTTATTATGCATTTTTCTGAGAAAGTAATTATACTTCTGGAACGAGAAAATAACGCGCAAACGTTCTGTGCATGAATATTTTCACTTTGGTGCCTTAAAACCATTAAAAAATGACTATTTTATAAAATTTCTAGCAAGCGTCTTCGAAGGGTCGTAAATCTGCAGGGGTGACACGAATAATTATTTTTTTCGTTTATTCTTAATGAGCAAACGATTCTACATGTCCCTGTAAAACCTCGTCTAATTCTAATTTTTGGACTTGCTAACATTACGAAGCTTCGTTGCATCGTTAAATTGACAGATTAAGTTGTCGTCTATATTTCCCAAAAACTCCGCAATGTGTCGCATCAGCATATTATGAAGAGCATTATATTTAAGCAAAACACAAATCAGACTAGGCTGTATGGCATAGGATCTTTACCTGCTTTAGTTGGCGAA